TAAAAATGTTTTAATAAATAAATAAATAAACAAACAAACAAACAAACAAACTTCACAATAGGCCAGGTTTTTTGTGACCAGAATGAGCTGCAGAGAACCTTCAGCTTCTACACTTTCCTGTTCTCCACTCTTCCTCCAGCACAGCTCTGAGGATGGATTGAGAACCACTCACTCCTGCTTTGATCATCTTCAGTTTAGCACTACATCCAGACCTTAAATTGTATTTAATCTTAACTCTTGTTTGTTGAAAGAAGACACTTCATAACTTAGCTATTTTAAAGATTAATCACTGTGTGTAAGTGTAGGACCAAATGACAAACTTCAGTTCATAAAGAGGTGGAAGCAAATGGTATGCCCAGAGGAAGAACAAAAGGAATTGTATGGAAGGAAGACACTGGAAGATCAGGAACACGAACCAAAATTTGCAAGGTGCATTCTCACCCTAGCAACATTAGTTGGCCATCAGCTATGGCTGATGTCAACAAGGCTTATTTCCAAGTCAGCAAGGCCTATCCCAAGCTCCTACTACGCTTGATTACCACTATGCTGGGGTTAACACTATTTACACATAGTCATGAGCTCATGCATTTTCAATAGCAAAGTCAACAGCACAAAAACTAATGCAAAATATCAACTGCTACTCTCACACCATCTCTCACAGCTCTCCTGTCAATTACCACAGTGTGACTTATTAATGACAAGATGCAATGTTGGAGTGTTTACTGTTCCCTTGCAGTGACCCCCCACAACTCCCATAATCAAGGCAACTGGGATGCGGCTCCATATTTATGAAAAAATGAGTTGCTGAATGCCAACCGCACCACAGAATTATTCAGCTGCCCATGCCATAACTGAGAAAGCTGCATGGCAGACAAACAGGCACAGCTGTCTGCATCACTGGACTTCCATGATGCACCTCATACATGACAGTCATGTACGTAAGGCAGAGAGGGAGCCCTTTTCACCAGCACTTGAGGGTGGAGCAGATAGCAGACAGTCTATCCTGCCCTTGAACAGATATTGACAAGATCACTTTTCAAATCCTCACGAACAGGTATAAACTTCATTTCAGGCCACCCACCTTGTTCATACAAAGAACCCACTGTACAGGATTTTCCCAAAAGCAAAATGTTAACTGAAATAATTATTCTACCAAACTCAGCAAGACTGGAAGAAGATACTGACCTTAAAGGGCACTTAGTTGCAAATCATATTTGTGATGGATAAGCAATAAAAACTTAACGGTGGAGGCCTCAAGATTTATTATCTAATTTTTTAAAAAGCATTAATAAATTCTTTTGTAAGTAAATTAAAAACTCTTTGCACATGAGCTTGCAGGAGCTTACAGGTGGGTGCAGGAGCTCATTTTAGAACCCAGCAAGTATGATGTTAAAACATAAACAAGTGTATTTTTAAAAGCTGTTCACTTTTGCTCTCCCCCTGCCCCCTCATTTTTCTTCTAGGCAATCTTGCCTGATGTTTGCAGAAGGAAATTAAAGCAGAGATTCCCTAATTCCTGAAAGAATCCAAGTCTCTAGGAGCAGCACAGCATTCAATAGAAAAGAATTCTGTGGAAGATTTATGATGGGCTGGCATCCCTGGCTCCGAAATGCATTCATGCCTTTCTCTGTTACTATAGCTCCAACCAAACTGGGACTATACACTAAGTCAGTGCAGAGACTACACACCCCATGGAAGAATCATCACATTGAAACAGCACTGCTTCTTCCTCAAAATGAACAAAGTACGAATGGAAAAGTCTGCTCATACAGTAAAGCATGGTGCTGACGGACAAGCCTGCTAATCTTGTGGACTGGGGAGTGAGCACTACAGGGAAGAGCTGCTAGGAGTCCCAAAATGTGAGAAGAAGAAAAATAATTTAAGTGTCGTGTTTCTGAATGTAAAAAGGAACATGAATCTTAAACATCACCGAACAAGATTTTATAGGCAGCCACCTCAGGGTGGTGGTGATATAGGACCTATTATGCCTCAGCTTTTAAGAACTCACAGGCTGGGTGAAAGTGATCAGCCTCTTCTCAGCAGAGTCCTCTCTGCTACATGAAACAGTTGTGGAGAAGCAGAGACAGCAACTGGGAGTGTACTTACATCTACAGACTGGCAGAAGACTAGAAGACATTTTGCTGTGATGGCATATGCTGCTGTGTTTCTGAATTTTATCCTATTTTTTAAAAGTAGCATTTGTTGTTAAAAGACTAATGGCAGAGCTGCCATGCTGAAAAATGAAGTCTCCCCCTGTAGTATCATCTTATTTCCAATAATGCCCCTAGGTCCCACATTTCTCAACATTTTCAATTTTGTGAAAAGAGTGATTGAACAGAAAAATATTATGCAAAAGAGTAGTCTTGCAGTCTGGACCTCAGAGTCCACCTCTGCTATTTTGTGAATGGTGGCCATTTTGTCAGAACACACACAACATTCTCAATGTTCTAAATGTGGCCACTGACACAAAAATTTGGGTATCCACGCAGCTATTTCAGGGAGCTACTACTGAGGGTGGAAAAAGATCATCAGCTTTTACCTAGCACCATCTTGAGAGAAGCCTTCGGTGTGGAGAGCTAATTCATATTATTGTAAGCCTTCTTTTAGAGACACCAACATGTGGAAAAAGTGGGTTACAAATGTTTCAAATACATACATAACATGCCAATGAACAAACCAATATAACATCATTATGGTTACAAAAATTTTATGATCTACAAAGAGTACAAATTTTTAAAGGGCTGTTCTCTGCATTGTATAATCCCTAAAATTATGATGAGTGTTATTTAGGAGCATGAATATTTAAGCAATTGCTTTTCTATCTACTTTTCTTCTATCACGGAAGTCAAGCAGGTATGCACAATACACAGACAGGGTTTCCCAGGAGGGCCAAAACTTGGTCAGTTTCAACAGTGATGCGGCAATAAATGCCTTTAAACCATACCTTGAGACAGTATCTTCTTGGCTTTTACTCTGGAATCACAAGGATAGCCAAGAGTGGGGAGATTAATCTTGGTAAGTCAGGAAAATAATCAACATCCCGTAAGTTATAAATGTGACTTTAAATAAAATTATGTAAGATTACTTGTATTCCTAACCTGTTAACCTGTCCTGTTAGCAGCAGAACTCCCCAACTCATGAAGATCTGGCTTTTCCCCACCCCAAAATAGGTGGCAAGATAACCAGAGTCCCAATTCTTAATAAACCCTTGACTTGCCTCCATTCGTGCCTTGTAAAAATCCACATCATGCAGTTTCTCTTTACACCGGACCAGCTCCATCTCAAGTCTCTCCACTCTGTTTGCTTTTTCTCTTAATGAATCCAATTCATCCCTATAGGCCCGAGCAGAGCGGGCATCTGCCATGAGGTTATTGTTCTGAGTAAAATAAAAACAGTGCAAGAAAGTTGTGAAGGCTTTAAATGATAGGAAAAACAATATGATCATCAGCGTGTACCAATCACTAAAAAGAAAACAAAGCTAAAATACATGAGAATTGTCCCACCCACTTCTACAGTCAATAATTGCTTAGCACCAATACAAGAGCTGTACTAGCTGTGATGCTAAACACTGTATCCCAACATATCTGCAAGGTGCCAGATTGCGAAAGGCTGAACCAATACTTCCTAAAAATGTCATGAGTGAATATCATAATCTAACTTTTCAGGTTTATTAGCAGCACAGCACAGCCATAGCCATGGGGGAGATGGTCGGGATTGTGCTCATCTTTCCTGCAGGAGTGCACCTGTAATCATGCATGCCTTCCCTGCATGAACGGAACTGTGATCGTGGCCATCTCCCCAATCAAGGGGGGGGGGTGGCTGCGATCTTGGGTCACCACCCAATGAGGAGTTCGTGACCCAAGTCAAAATTTTAATGACATTTTTGTTCATGACCCAATTTGTTTGTGAACCAAGGTACCACTGTAGATTGGAAGAGAAGTCCATTTAGTGAAAATGAAGAAAAGGAGGGCAGGAAGGCAAAGGTCATTTTTGCTGCTCTTCCTGCTGCACTGGATGCCTATAAGACTCTGAGTTCAGGAGCTTATGGACAATTCAACAGGATTACATCCTAACAGAAGTGGTCTGTTTTCCTTTTAAAATTCTCTAAGTTACTGCCTATCACTGCATCTCATGACAGTTCATTTTTGACATTCAATATTTTGTGCAGAAGCACTTGGAGGTTCAGATTAACCTGAATGCTAGCACAGACATACACTAAGAAGTGTGGTCGAAAGAGTAATATAATGTAATATTTGTTCTTCAATATTTAACATGTATTCTTACCTCTTGCTTTATCTTCTGCAGTTCCACAACAAGTTCATCCATTTCATGTCTAGTATCAACAAGTTGTTCTGATTTTTCTTCCCTGAGGATTTTGTACAAGTTGGTTAAATGCAATCACACCGATTCCTAAAACCCCCAGTAATAAAATAACCTAGCATAATATATATCTAAGTCTAAATGAGAAATGTGGCACAGTTATCTTGTTGCTAATTTATCAAGATCAGCAAGCACCGCATGCCAATAAAAGCAGGTTGCTTACCTGTAACTGATGTTCTTTGAGCAACCTGCTTTTCTTCGTTGTGGCCTCTGTGCATCACACATATGGGTGATTCACAAGCTTACCAAACTCGGAGGAGGGAGGTGTCATCAGCGAAGAACAGATGAAATAACAGCTCTGCCAAAAGAGCAGTCTTGTCTGGCATGTACATCAAGCCGATAATGCTTGGCGAAGGTACATGGACCAGCCCATGTCGCAGCTCTGCAAATATCTTGTAGCGGAACCCCTGCAGCAAATGCGGACGAAGTCGCTACAGCTCATGTGGAGTGACCTCTTGGAAAAACAGGTAAGTCTATTTTCAATAGCTGGTAAGCCAAGACGATAGTCTGGACAATTCAATTAGAAAGTCTTTGAGATGTGATCGGTGATCCCTTGTCACGCTCGGAGTACTTAACAAAAAGTCTATTAGTACTACGGAAAGATTCTGTGCGGGATCTGTAAAAGGCCAAGCAACAGCGAACATCAAGCATGTGTAGAGCACATTCTATCGGGTTCGAAGGCGATGGAAAGAATGCTGGCAAAACAATGTCTTGACTCAGGTGGAACGGCATAGCCACTTTAGGGAGAAAGGAAAAATACATCCAAAGAACGACTTTTTCCTTATGGAAATTCAGAAATGGAGGGTCTATGCGAAGAGCACAAATTTCACTAGCTCTCCAAGCTGATGTTACTGCGACGAGGAAGGCTGTTTTCCACAACACGAGGCATAAGTCTACAGTTGCCAAAGGCTCGAATGGTGGTTTGGTAAGTGCCTGGAGCACTATTGAAAGGCTCCACGTTGGCATAGCAGGGCGCATAGACGGATGTAAGTTCTGTAGTCCCCTAATAAAGCGTTGAACCAGCGGTTGAGAGAAGACTGATAAGCCATGGACAGTGCCACGATAATGGAATATGGCGGCTGCATAAAATTTGATGGATGATGGTTTGAGTCCCGTGTGATGCAGTTGCAAGAGAAATTGCACAATATTGTCAACTGAAGCTGTCCCAGGAAGAAAAGAATGGCACTCTGCAAAAGAGGAGAATCTTTTCCATTTAGCTGCATAGGAACGATGAGTGGACGGTCTCAATGCAGATTTGAGAATCACCTGAATTTCTTGGTCAATAGGCGTCAATGCCGTAGCGATTGCTGTCGAATCCGAGGTAGGAGCCGTATGTACCGTCTGCTGAACAGGGTCCTCTGTAGAGCAAGGTGGCATCGGTATCGACTCAGTGAAATGACTCAGTTGATCCGCCATGCTGTCAACTTCAGGGAGGTTATATCCGGATGTCGGATTGCTCCGTCTTGTTGTGTTAACACATGCAGAAGAGTTGGTAGGCGAAGAAACATTCTTCTGGATAGTAACAAGAGAGTGGCAAACCATGGTTGTCTCGGCCACCACGGGGTTACTAATTATTATTATTATTATTATTATTATTATTATTATTATTATTATTAGAACATTTCTATGCCGCCCCTTGAGGAAGCCTCGGGGTGGCTTACAACACAATAAAATACAATACAAAAATAACAATATAAAATTAAAATTAATAATATAAAATAAATAAATATAAAAATATATAAACAATATAAAAGAAGTTATAAAAGAAAAGTTATAAAAGAAAAGAAGAAAACAAAAGAAGTCGTCCTGGCCAGATGAATAAGTGAATATTGTTAACAATTAAAATGACGTTTAAATAAAAAGGTCTTCACCTGGCGCCGAAAAACAAATAATGACGGCGCCAGGCGAACCTCTCTGGGGAGCACATTCCATAGATTCCATACTAATATCCCTGTGGCATTGTCTTGGGCTATCTTCGCAACCACTTTTGTTAGAAGTGGGATCGGAGGAAACGCATAAAAAGTCATGTTGTTCCAAGGGATCATAAGAGCATCCCCCATCGATCCCGATCCGATGCCCGCTCTGGAACAATACAGGGCACACACTCGGTTGTCCCGAGTGGTAAACAGGTCCATGTCCGGGTAACCCCACAAATGGAAGAGTTTCTCGCAAATTTGTCTGTCCAACTCCCATTCGTGGGTTGTTGACATCTGTCTGCTTAACATATCTGCTTCGATGTTGTCGGTTCCAGCCAGGTGAACTACCAGGAGCATAATGTTCCTCAGTATGCACCAGTCCCAAATGTCCATCGATAGGCGTGCTAAGGCTGGAGATTTCATGCCGCCCTGCTGGTTGATATAGAAAACAGCAGGTATGTTGTGTGATGCAATCTGGACAACTTGACGGCATAGCACAGTCTCGAAGGCCTTGAGGGCGTTGAAAATCACTAGAAGTTCGAGGAAGTTGATGTGCTTCTCGTCAGTTCCAAGTACCTTGAACCCGAAGTCCCGAATATGTTGCACCCCATCCGAGGAGGGATGCGTCAGTGTACAGGGTTGTTGTTGGCTGAAGCGGTCGAAACGGGACGCCGATAGACAAGTTGCCTGGGATGGTCCACCAAGTTAGAGTACGAAGGATCGTGAACGGAATCTGGATCAGCTTGGTGGCAGGATCCTGTTGCAGGTGAAATGCGGCGTTGAAAAACAGTTGTATGGGCCACATACACAGTCTGGCATACGGGACAATGGCAACTGCAGCGGCCATGTGCCCAAGTAGTCTCTGAATGGATAAGGCTGGGACTGTTCCGTGCAGCCATATCTGACAAATGTGGTTGCATAAAGCATCTTGACGTTCCAGTGGAAGAAAGGCTCTTTCCTGTGTTGAGTCGAATCGTGCCCCAATGAAGTTGATGACCTGCGTGGGAATAAGGGACGATTTCTCACGGTTAATGCACAGACCAAGAGCATCGAGTAGAGTGCAGGTCACTTGTATAGCAGACAGAAGACCTTGTTTGGATTACGAAATGATGAGCCAATCATCTAAATATGGGTATATTTGCACTCCCCGTGTTCTTAAGTGTGCGCATACCGGTGCCATACACTTCGTAAAAACTCGAGGGGCGGTAGCCAGGCCAAA